GGGGGGCGCGCCACATGTTGCGCACTAGCTTACAGCGAGTTGTTGACTGGCTGGGGCAGGCGGGGGTGGGGTGGGGGGTTAGGATGTGTAAGAGAAACGGCGCATGCAGCATCTTAGCTAGTGTGTCTAATGTGCACGGCAAGATTTTGTCCTAAGACTTAAAAAGTCCAGCTGATGGTGTTCTAGAGCAGGGGTGCCCAACCTTTTTTGAACCAAGAGCTACTTTTGAAGTCGGCAATTTGCCGAGAGCTACTCGTCCAGTCTCATTATCAACAAACATAATTTTTCATCAATCCCTACTCCTCACTTCTTTAAAGTAAATAAAACAGAACGTGATGTGTCTATAGGAGACAACTTTTTATGCAAGCTGTATAAAATAAATGTGTCTCTACCTTAGTGGGACTTCTGACACTGAGAGGAGGAGGCCAGGGTCTCATAAGATGGGCAGTATGAGGTGGTTGCGAGGCGCAGGCAGGTCTCCAGATGATCATCATTCATTGTGGATCTGTTTTTGGACTTGATGATTTTCATGTGTGAAAAAGCAGACTCACACAGGTAGGTAGATCCAAAAAGTGCTGTTAAGTTCAAAGCACATCTTCGGATGTTAGGATACTTTTCTTCTGACAACAGACTCCAGAACTCTCCATCCACGCCAGGTGATGCTCTGGATTTGATCCCAATGTCATTTTGCAGACTCAACACCTCATTTTCAACACCAGAGCTGTCCAGCTGAAACACGGACACCAATTTGGACACAATGTCATCCACATCAACATTTCCAAAACATATGTAGCTGGTAACAGGCTCGATGGAGGAAAAGTCAGTAAATCGTCTCTCAAATTCTGCTGAGATGCTCTGAACCTGCTTAGAATAGTGTGCACTGTCCAGTTGTGGGACTTCTTTCCCTTGGCGCTGTAGCTCTGCCTCCATGTGTGGGAAGTTTCGCAGGTCCCTGCGTTGCAGCCGACTTGTGAGCAGTTGCAGCCTGCTTTTGAAGGTGCTCACAGAACTGATCATGTGGATTATGTTTTTGTCCTTTCCCTGAAGCTCCAAATTCAGTTCATTGAGCAGGCTGGTGAGATCTGTGAGGAAGGCTAAATCCAAAAGCCACTGGGTGTCCTCTAGTTTTGAATGTTCACCATGATCTGACAGCTTCAGAAAATCCCTGATCTCAGGCAACAGCTCACTGAATCTGTCCAGAAATGTACCTCTGCTTAGCCACCTGACGTCCATGTGCAGCAGCAGGTCTGTGTGGTCTGCTCCTGCCTCCTCCAAGTGAGCCCGGAACAACCTCCTCTGCAGACTCCTGGCCCTTATAGAGCACACAGTTTTCATGGCAACATCCATCACTTCCTTCATGTTTAAAATCTTCCCACACAGGGCCTGTTGGTGGATGATGCAGTGACAGTGCAAAATGTCTGGGAAAGCATCATTCTGCTTGCAGAGTGCAACAAAT